CCCTCTTCCCTATGAGTAGATTTTAAAGGCTTGACAGGAAGCTACGACCTTGGACTCTTTGGACAGGTACCTTGGTCCTTGAGACAGTGCCAAGGCATCTCAGAGTAGCTGATATGCTCTGTCCTTTTGAAAGGCCGGTGCGTTATCTCATCTCTCCGACAGACTTGAGCCAGAAAGACTGACGACTGGCGTTCGCTTATCCGGGTTACTAGGCAGAACTTTGAGGCGAAATTGTCTTACATAAAGGCTGCCTCACGCGTTAGTTTAACTCACCCCGATCTTGTGGGACGATAAGGCGTTTTTAGTACTTAAATCATCATCAGTAATTGCAAACGAAGGAAAGCAGTCTAGTCCTTGTGCTTAGAAGGAAATAAAAACAATGCAGTCAACTTGTTGTGAATGAATCTGATCAGCAGGAAAGGCAGAAATTGCCTCGAAAAATGTCCGTCCGCACAACATCCGGAATTAGTGCGTTTGGAAGCGAGCATTCCGCACAACTTCATGCCCATACAGGCAGTACCAGGGTGCAAAAACAACCCCCCCTCCCCCCCTTCAACTGCAGCAAACGTCAGTTATTTACGTGCTAACGCTCACGTTCACCTGCCATGGTAAACATTTGGTCGTAAAGTAAACATTTGCCAAAAAAGCAGAAAACTAGACTGCACTGAAAAGTAACTATCTGCAATCTGATTGTGCGTCTTCCCTGGACGTTGTCCGTAGTCGGACTGAAAGCCTGCCGGTAAGCACAGACAAGATGCCCTCCCTCTTACATAAACAGCCCGGAAGGTAGGTCTTCTGTTCCGAGAGAACAGGTCCGGAAGGTCCAATGGGATAAAGAGTCTCATCCAGACGAGAAAAAAAAACAGGACTAACCAGTAGAGGGCTAAAATTAGCAGCGGGACTCAGTGGCGCCTAGGAACAAGCGAGGGCCACGATAGCATCTCCACGATGGTAGAGAAGCATGTTGACTTCATGCAGTGCTATAAATAAAGGACGGTGGCATTTAGTCCGTGTAGTTTCCAGCCCAAAAGTATGGGTACTTATTTTGGGTAGGTAGGGTGTAAGCAAGCCTACTGTCAGCCGCCCGTAGACTCCAGACGGCTCGTGGCTGTAGTTTATTTGCAGCCAGGGAAACGGTTATTGGGGCCGGGAACGGGACGACGCGTGGGGCGGGAAGACTTTAAGACTTGTGGGAGAGACAAGTTGGTCTCCCGATCGCCAGCGGGAGATCAGAGCATTCGGATCAAAAATGTGCTGACTGGCTGTGGTCTCGGCAAACTGTGGTTTGCGTTTAATGACGTTTCGTTTTGTCCGCACCGTCTAGGACTTCGAAACCAGAACGGTGATTCCGTCTCAAACTCTTTCCAAATGACTTATCCAAAACCGAGTTTTGGCTAGATCTTTCGCTTTATATCATTGAAACTCACTGGACAGTCAGATCGAAAAAAGCCCTTACGCAGCCGGGAAGTTACAAGACAAGCGAGCGTGGAAAATTCGTTCAAATCCCTTCCTAGGTCTTGACTTTTGGAAGCTGGACCAAGGGATCATTACTTAAGTAGAATGTGTTCTACTTGGTCCCTGCAACGGGCCACACGGAGACTAGATCTAGATACGGTCTGCGCACCCATGACAAACGCCAGACACTGTGGCGGCACGCCTAGGTGCAGGCTTGCGCCGAACCAATCATTTGCGCTCAATTTCCGCGCCAGACGGCTGAACGGCTTAGGGAGGGTACTAGCGCGTACGGGAGAGGTCATAGACTGACGCCAACTCAGGGGACTCCATCTCCACGAAGTTCATCACATATCCCCCACCCGAAACAAGCTGACGCGCTCTAAGACTATCACGGTGCGTTAAAATGTATGACTTGGAAGACTGCGAACTGACAGGAAAATTCAGTCGCTTCAGGACGGAGAGTTAGGGCTACCCTGGTCCCTCCTTACTACGGCCTTTACGGTATGCCTACTCAGTTAGGACTCAAGCTGTTCCCATATCTCGTTGTGGGAAATTCTGGCCCGTCGCGTGCGGACCCATTGTGTGTGTGCGGCACGCGCAGACGGGCTGTGTAGATGTGTAATCCACCGCTCCCGATCCTGCCTCCGGTCTTCTTGTTTCTGATTTGACATCGGGCCGAGGTAGATCGGGGAGGAGAGGGTGCGGTAGATGCAGCGCAAGTCCTCTATCGCCGTAAACTAATTTGCGTGAATGTCACCGGTTGTGCACCCGCTCCGTGAAGCAGGCAGTGAACGTCGTCGTTTGCGATGGCCGAAGAGTATGGGACCATGGGGTGTATGGGCGGAGTCGTTTAACGGATCTGGTGCAGTTGCGACAAAGCAACTACGTCGGGGAAACTGGAAGACTGCTCCGGACGCGAATTGTCGAACACGCGGAAGCGGTACGGAGAAATGACGCCAAATCTCAGGCCGCGGCCCATTCGACGAGACCCAGCCACACATTCAAGTTCGATGAGGCCGAAATTCTCATGAGAGGGGATGATCGCACTCCCTCCTCCCTCACCCACCGGTGACAACCGGAGGTGAGAAGGAAGCAAGTGACTGGCACGATACCTACCAGTTAATCTGACAGACCGAAGTGCTATCAGCAGAAGAGTTTGCTCTGAGAGAGAGAGGCCGAAACTATGTGACGGCTACCAAAATCGCACACACAACTACAGGCGCATTCGAACTGCGCAGACGGTCGCTTTGTTTGATTGCTTTGCAACCGGGGTGGGGTTTGCTTGTCCTCAATGCCTGCCATCAGATGCCGGAGTCTGTTTGCTCTGAGAAATCAAACAGACCCGCGTGCGCTTACTACCCTGTGAATAAACACGCGACCAACCCCCACAGTAGCGTAGCGATGGAACTTTAGTGACCCTGCTCCGAGCGCCTGGTGAAACACTGCATCTCTGGCACACAACAGCTCGACCCGACGATGTCCACCGTGTGCTGCTCAGCAAGCTGAAGCAGGTACTGTGGCTTGCACGTGAATTAGTTTATGGTAAGAGCGGAATTGCGCAGCATCTACTGCCCTCTCTCTCTCTTCCCCATTCCCAACCTGGGCCCGTTGTTAAGACAGGGTCAAGAAGACTAGAGGCGGGAGAGGGCGCAGGTGGATGGCAGGGCCGGAACCGCTCCTAGGCGTGTCACCACACCCCTTGGTCTACAACAAACACTTGACCAGGATTTTGACTAACAACGGCACCACAACGGCCAGAAGGACGAAGATGACTGGACAGCCATGCTCACGACCTGTATACCCAGGAGGGAACCAAGAATTGCCAGCGCAGACCAGGCTGCGAGGGCCAGGGGTTGCTGGTCATGATATAACAGATTCTTACGTACCTTGAGGCATATCATCCAATCGCATCGTCAGCATCATCGCCTCTTCCTTGTACCTGTCCTTCCACTACCAATGGGTCTTCTGCACAGTAAAGCTCCTATTAAACACCACTTCTTCAATTGCCGTAGACTGATCACGACTTGCGTAAGCGATTCCTTACCTAAGTAGATCTTTTCTAGGCAAAAAATTCCGATATTCTGGGCTGTTGGCTTACCGACATCATTTGTCGATGCTTTACGAACACTATTCAGTGGGTGTTCCATTTGGGAGACTATAAGGTCCACTCACTATCAGTAGAAATGTCATTGGACGTACCAGCACTGGGTAATCGGAAACAGGCCATTATTATGCAAAAGCAGATCTACAAAAATCGTATTTGAAAAGTCGAGTTGGCAAACACGTGTTTTCGGTAATTCTTCGTCAGGCCAATACAATTACATGAAGGAATGAAAATGTACAAAATCAACAGTGTTTATAGGTGTCTCAAGGGCAATTAAGTCATTGACACTCATCTTCCCGCACCGCCCGCATGACGAGGACGGCGGGTTTTGGTTCCTAGAGCTGGGGGGGGGGGGTAAGAGTCTTTGAGTAATGTTCTTGGATTGAGTACACGGAGTAACCATCGCTGTAATTAGGGATTTGAGGCGGCATGTCGTCATCACTTGAGGTTGGCGTTGGCCACGGCAGAGAGAGCGCTTGTGTCAGGGTTTTCTGACAGCATAACACCGGATTCGCTAGCCGTATAACTACTGCCTCGGCCGTTGCTAGGATCCGTTGGCGTAGGCCTTTAGAGAAGCATGTTGGTGTCCCGTAGACAACCTGCAATGCTTCCTTGGCATCGACTCGGTTCGATCGTCGCACCCGTCGATGTCCACCGTGTGCACCACAGTAGGGTGGGGGCAGGGACGGTGACTTTGCGCATTTACGCATACACGCGCGCACCAACGGCAATCGTACTTCCGGCATTGTGTGACTCCGCATGATCCTCTCATTGCCTCCGACCCATCCCTGAAAACCGAGAGGAAATGTCTGCTGCTCAGTCAATCACTACCATCCGAGCAGGCCAATCAGCTTCTGGTCTGACGGAGACATGTCCTCGCCTGCCCACGACAGGACTTAAGTTCCGATACAAGCGAAGATGTGAGTTCCAGGAACTAGTTGAAGAAGCGATCGCTAAAGCAAGGGCTTTATTAGCCCGACTTTTCGGATTCTCACTTAAACCCATCATCAGAGACAGGGACAGAAAAGGGTGACTCGTGCACAGGAAGTTGCAGTATTTATAGGATGCAGTCGCTATGCTAACGCATACCTATAGTAATTAACCGCGCTCCCCTTCCTCAAGAATTGTTGCCCGCTGGTGCGCTAATTGCTTGATGGTCGGCATGCAAGCAGTTAATTGCTGAAATCTCATCACCCGTGTTGGATGCTGGCGTGATGATTGTTCGGCCATCTGGCTCATCGGCTTGCGTGCTCCCCGAGTGATCAGTTACTTTGGCCAGCCTATGTCTCAGCACGGAATATGGACTGGGGATGTCGTTGCACTTGTTGATAGACTGGGGTCCCGTGAACCATGACTCAAGTAACTCGCGGATCACGCAATTATCCCCTCTCGTGAGAATTTCGGCCTCATCGAACTTGAATGTGTGGCCGGGTCTCGTCGAATGGGCCGCGACCTGAGAGTTGGCGTCATTTCTCCGCACCGCTGCCGCATGTTCGGCAAGTCGCGTCCGGAGCAGTCTTCCAGTTTCTCCGATGTAGTTGATTTATCCGCAACTGCACTGGATCTGGTAAACGACTCCAGATGTTTGTTGCCGTGGAAGTGGGTCTTTTGGTCTCATCATTTGATGCCTTATAGTGGCCTCCGTTCTGTGTGCAACTCCAACCTCAAGTGGTTCAAGAAGGCGACTAAGGGCCTCGGAGACGTTCGCTGGTGCTAGAGACCCGTTGAGGTTTACGGTCGAGAACGAGAAGTTTCCCAAATCAAAGGTCCAGAAGAACGACTCACTAGGACAGTCCTCATTGCTGCGCGGAGACCAGCGACGCCAGAGCGAGGTGCAGCGCGCACCAGAGTGAGACCCGGCTACGACAGATCAGTGGAAGCCATAATATCGACCAGCTGCACGAAGTCTCCAAGCCGAGGGTTGAGTCACATGCAGCTCAATCATCTGACTGGCGGGGGGTTCAGTACCGGCCATAGACCCGCGGGTTACAACTAGTCTGTGAACCAGCCGAACAGTGTATCTGTGTAGGAGTCTCTTGGCCGCATGTGTTGGTCGTACGTATGCCGAATGGCCGAAAGGGGCATGAATAAATTTAAAAAACAACCGCCATTTTGTTCGGCAAGGATATGGGGTAAGCGAGCTGTTAGTCATGCATAAACAGATAATATTCCAAACAGTTTGTCAACCGGTTAGGTTCGCACACATTACTTAGAACCTAGCTTTAACAGCTCAGAGTAATTATTGCTGTCTTTTTGGGCCCCTTAGCTTAATCGACATTTGCCTGCTAGTAACAGGATGTAGAACGTACTTATCTCCCTGTGATCAACGCTCGATCTAGAGGGGAATTACGTGCCATTTCTGCGTGTCCATCAAGACTGTGAGGTTTGTCTGGAACAACTATTCGCACTTTCCGGCAGACGACTAAAAGAAGACACCAGACGATAACTGGTGAGGGACAGACTGCCTTGAAGTTGGCAGTAAGGATTGTAGTTGTTAAACCATGTTGTCGGGTCAGAACTCGGGGAAGCAGAATTGGATGAGACACCTTTATGGAGTGGGAACGTCCAAACTTCCAGTAGTATGCTCTGGTGAGGGGCGGATGGCCGGCGAGCGCTAGAGCCGCATGAAGGCCAATTGCATGATCGACCAACGCCTGAACCCGATGAGACCTCGAGACCAAGTGCGTGATTATGAGGATTATAGTATACGCGGTATATTCAGTTAAGCGTTGAAGTGTAGTAGGTAGCAAAACTGTCAGGCTTTGCATTGATTCCCTGTATGAGCAGTTCCAAGTTCCTGGAGATGGGCGATCATATATTATCGCTTTTTAATTTCCTCAGAAATTATCTGCGAAGTCGGAGCAGCTCAGTTTATTCAAGATCTATAGGCTCAGACGGAGAATTTTATGTATGAATATTTGGGCCAAATCCCATCAGCCACAGCGAGTAACCACATAATATTAATTAACTGTCGACAGACAGCTAGTTGTATGCTTTAGGGTAAGGTGATACCATACTAACAGCACAGGTACTAGTCAAAAGCCCATTGGCTAGTACCTGTGCTGTTAGTATGGTACTACCTTACCCTAAAGATCATATATTAAGTGTTAAGGGTCGTTCCATCCGTGATAAACGCCATCACTGCACGCCCTGTGTCCCACCATTCACACTTTTGTCCTTCCCGAGGGCGTTTGGACATAAAGTCTCAGAATTCAACGGTTTGGAATGCAGCACAAACGGCGAGCGCAGACGAGACATAAAACACAGCGTTTACAGGAGCCGCGTTAGGCTGTGAGTTCCCTAATACGAGTGCTTTTCGCCTGCGGGAACCGCAGAACCAGGAGTTCTGACAGGCGCATGTAAATGAGGCGTGAGAGCTTTTAATCACAATTTATCTATTGTTCTCCATTTTAAGGAGGTATACCCTTCCAGAGATTGTTTCTGACTTCAGGCGTACTCCCACAGCCTGATGGAGCCTTACGGGAATTTCTGATATGACTATACACACCCAGACATGGACAGTGCAGGCCTCAAACAGGGATTCCGTGATGAACTGCATGTCCGGAGAAGGGTGGAGAGGGTAGTAGAAAGTAAATTTTGACAAGTTAAACTGTGAACTGGCTTCAGTGGTGCCTTTTTGTATCGTAACGCAATCTCCACAAGATATAAGTGGAAAAATTAGAAACTATAACCATGGGGTCAGTGACGGATACATGAGGACTAAACGAACTACACTGAGTGGACATACTGCGTTCAGTCAATAAGGAGACATCAGAATTCACATTCTGGGCATTCTAAAAACTGTTGCTGACGATGTAACTCGTGGAAATAAGCGTAAAGATTTAGAGTCATTTCAGGTAGCTAGAAATTCGACCAACTGCAGGCCTTTCCTCAAGGCAGTTGACTGGCGCAGAAAATCAGGCTTATTCGCTTCAAGTAAATCGTTCACCCGCCTTGAAGTCAAAGATGGCTCGATGGGCGGCTAGACCGAATTATAACTGTCCCTCCCTCCCTCGCCCCCTTAAAATCAACCCTCAGACCAAAATCTAGACCTTGAACGCGGCAAGTTCCAGCAACATTCCAACGCTAATGTTGAATGCCGTTCATAGTAATTCCGAGAACGGTGACAGCAGAACCAACCCCGAGAATGTCATGCAATCTTAACGCGAACGCTTCTAAACTGTGCTCTCCCTAATAAGCCCCTAAGCGTTTAAGTATTGAACCCTGTTCATATGAGCATACGCCATTATGATAAAATATCCTAGTTTTGTGAGCGTCTGCTATGTCATGATCAGCAAATCATGGCCATCGCAGCCCAGTGTGTGCTGGGAGTTCTCCGGTAGATGCGTTTGCGCTCCCGCTGGGTAGGCAGGATCATGTGCATGTCTGTCGAGTCATCCTCGTCTTTTCTGTTGTCTTTGTCGGTAGTAGTCAAAATTCTGGCCAAGTGTTTTTTGTGGACCAGGAGGTGTGGTAGCTCGCCCAGGTGCGGCTCCGGCCGTGCCAGCCACCTGCGCTCTCTCCCCTCTCTTCTTGACTTTGTCTTGGCACCGGGCTTGGATGGGGGAGGTTGTGAGAGTGCGGTAGAGGCTGCGCAAGTCTGCTATCCCTATAAACCAAGTCACGACCAAGTCACCGTCCCTGCTCTCACCCTGCTGTGTAGCATACAGTGGGCATCGTCGGTTGCGAGAGTCGAATTATCATGAGTAAATATTGTGCCATATTAGTGCTCCTTATTTTAGAGAAATAGGTTATATTTTGAAAATACCGTTCTACAGTTTTCAACAAAAACACCCCCATTCAGAATAAAGATTGATAGGTGACGAGAGAGAGAGAGAGAGTTAGTAGGTTTGCATAAAAACTATTCAAACATTATGGGGCAGTTCAAGTCTCACGTTAGGTATCTTGCTAGAGATGGTAATATTGAACGCTGGCATGTCAATGGAAGCCACGGCACAAGGGTCCGAAAGACATCGCAGCCATTAATTCAGAGTGAAGGGCATGGACAATGTCATTCAGAATTCGACCACCAAATTGCTTGATCATTATGAAATGTCGTTGCCTTAATATATCGGCTAAAAGGGTATAAGAAATACCGGCAGCAGAAGAGATCTTTCCGGAGACACGTTTAAAATGACCATGTCTTTTTTAAGGCAATGCTATCACGTTTTCTTTTTCCTGCGGCTTTATGGCGTACGCTGCCACCAAGCAAATAAGTTGAGCAACCGGCTGGTCAACGAGCCCGTGGCTCAGTTGTTAGAGGGGTTGCACTTCTAACCAACAGGTCGCGTGATCGAGCCCCAGGCGTCCCACACTTAGTGGTTGGGTATGACCGGCTGACGACGGCTAATAAGCCAGAAATGGTCACTCCAGTCTCCCTTGTCTTTGTCGTTAAGATCATTCTGTTGATACTTCTAAATGTATCATTTCCAGGATAGATAGTCAAACGTCTGCCGACCAAATGTAGTCTAAAGAAGTAAAAATGACGGGCATACTATCGAAATTATCGTTTCCAAAGTCAATAGCCCAATGCAAGGACCTATCTGGGAAAAGTAACAACCATGCAAGCACGGACTTCAGGGGGTGGTTATATCACGGCGCTGCCGCATTGACGAATTAATTTAGCCTATCGTCTTCAATGCACCGGAAGGTTGGCGTCACGCAGTGCAGGCAACCGCACGAATGCCCCTCACACCTCTGTGCTTTTGGTCTAGTCGACCTATCAAAAGCGAGCCGGCATTCTAAGTCACGAATCACGGAAAACACATTTGCTGTCAACAACAAACAGCGTGCTGTGCGCGAGAGCGGAACCTATCGTCTTTGCTGAGTAAATGTCGTTTCCCTAGTTGTCTGGTTGTCTCACTAGCTCACCCAGTGCGCTCATTTTTTTCGGCACTCGCAGGCTGGCTGACTTTCGGGAGTTCAGATGCCACACGATCTACTACCCACTGCCGATTTTGCCGAGAAAAGCCAAGCACAACCAACCGGCCGCCCGCCATCGCATATCGATCATTCGCCAGTCGCGTAGCTAACTGTAGGTCTGCTGTTAGCTGCGCTCTGATTGGTCCGTGCGACTGTATAACCGACGATCACCCACGGGCAGTAGTCCGACTTGTCGCGTTGGCTGTGCGCAGTGAGTTGTGGTGTTTTCTTTTACGACTGATTCCATTTTGTTCTATTTTAAGGCACCGCCTTTCTTCTGGGGTGACACAACAGCCATAGGGCAGACAGTGGGACTAAAAAGACCCCTATTTTGTAATTGAAAACGTCCAGTGGAGGGGGAGGTTTGATATTCGATCGGATTTTGTATTTCCTAAAGGGGGGGGGGGACACTAAAGGTCCAAGTTAAACTCTTAAAATAAGGCTTGAGAGTCAGTAGCCCTACTTATTAGGGAGAAAAAGAGCATGTCTTATTGTTTTGCACAGGGAATTCGTTCGCCTAGGTAGATAAATCTTTTATGCGAGTTAAAAAAGGCCATTTCGCAAGTAAGCACGCCAAAGTTAAAGCACAAGTAACTGCACCCCTCAAAAACTTCCTTGGTTTAAAATTGCGGCATCTTTTGCCAACTAAGTTAATTTTTGGTGCGAAGCTGGACGTGAGGCTTGTTTGCTTTTACGGCAATTTGACCTTGGTGACGAGGCTTTCGGGTATCAGTGAAATTCTTATTTTGGGGAGAATTCAGTATAGCCTACTACGAAGGAAAAAGACTTGGCGATATACGACGGAGAATGCCTTCGTAAAACGCAGAACAACTTAATTAGACCGAAAATCTTACATTTGTAACTCGGTCGTCGGCATAAGTTTTGTGTCCACTAAGTCTCCTTCAACTTCATATACTTTTACGAGAATGTAGCGTTCAATCGTTCACTTGTTATCATGGTTTAATAAACCTATTACCGGCAGAACAGGTCATTAGCATAAGCTTGCTTCTAGTAAGAAGGAAAGGCCTGTGGCAGTTGAAAGTGATATTACGAAGTTCTGCACTGATCTCGGATTTCATTCATCGGCCTGGGAGTTTAAGCCAAAAATAAGTTTTTGACTTTTCAACTAAAGCACATGTTTTACTGTATAACCCAGATTTGGAGTCAATCCCAGAAGTTTGAAGCGTCGTGTTCGGAGTTAAAAAGGCATATAGTGTCCCAAAAGATTTATTGACAAGGATAAAGGGGCCCGCATTGGTCATTTCTTGTGTATTTTCCAGCCGTATCCAAACCGGCAAGATGTGTGATCATGACTCAGTTGGTAGAACGCTCGGTTCAAGGATCATCTGGGCTCGAGTGCGAACCTCGTTGCCATCGGACACGATGTTGGGGCATGGCTGGCTGAGGGCAGGAGAGAAGGAAACAGTGGCCAATCCAGTCTCGCCTGCCTTGCTCTTTGCTAATCCTTCTTGATTCCTGATTGTTCAGCACCTGTGAGGGTTCCTATCGGGGCTTCAGGGCGGGATAGGTCAGTAGACGCCATTCTCATGCAATTGCATGCGGTCCATATTCTCACAGCCGCCGTCGAGATCCCAACACTTGTGCGATAAGCTGATGCGGATTCACTCTGACCTATTTTGTCATTTTTTAGCAAGAGCACATGACTCCTCGGTCCTTAGAGATCACGGGAACTGGACGGATAGCTCGAAATCACCTCGTGACGAGGTCGTAGGAAAATAGCTTGCTTTGTCCTACAAGTTTTGCATTGAACGATTCGATATTTGAGCTGCTAGGAGACATACGATCACTTCTGTTGATTTTCAAAAAAGGCCAGGTACTTTCAGATCCTGGGAGGCTGAAGGTGGGGTTCACCAGTCTCGCGTTTCGCCCGGGTGGATTATCGATCTCATCAGTATGAGACTGCTGCTTGCCCTTGAACAGCAGACAGAGGGGTTCCTGATAAAGGCTGCCCCTCCATCAGTGAACCAAAGTTAGAATTTTCCGATGACCTGCGTAGAGCCGACCGACTAAGCTCGTGATTGGTCCATCAACTCTGTAGGCTTGTCAGCCCCTGTTGAACCTCCTGTGAGGACACCGGAAATAAACAGCTGACTTTCCGAAGGTTGAAAGGGCCGCGGTCACAGTACAGTAAAATCACTCACCGGAGCATGGTGACTTTTGCAGTTTTGTGCATTAAAATGGCGAGTCGAACCGTATCTAAAAATAGCCACGCAAAAGACCTCACGGAACTGCGTGCTATCCGAGCACGTGAGAGTTATTCTCGAACTAAGCGTGTTGGTTAGGGGCTGGAGCGAGTCTGTTGATGAATTCCTAAATCTCACCCCTTCACGATTTACTACTGAATTCAGGCAGATAAAGCAAACTCGGGTGAGGGCTTAACCGACTGCCGACTTATAAAGAATTCGCCAGCCTCGTCGGGCTTTGAGCCTGTGACAAAAAAGGCCAAGCCTTCGGCACAGGTAACACTAGCCACCTGGGTTACTAGTACGGCGGATGACTACCGGACTCACTTTTGACATATGAGATTGGCGTTCGCTGTTATGACTTGCTTGCAGGACAAACATGTGCGCATCCGCGAAGCAACCAGCAAAAAAGACCAAGAAAGACCGGGGAACTTGCACGCCGGTTTCTGGCTTGCCAATCCCCATCAGGAAGTGATGATGTTGATGATAATTCCAGCGTCCTCACCCTTGTCGACAACGCTTCTGAGTCAAACAGAACTGGTTGATTAGCACCACACTTCTACGTTGTGTGGTCTGGTAGTTTCTTTACTAGTTTTCGCTGCCTTTCCCCGAGCTAAGTGCCAGTTAAGGGTGTGGCAATTCAGCCGTCGCAAATGGTGACATCCGACAGCTCGACCGTCGAGTTCGACGATGTCCACCGCGTGCTACACAGCAAGATGCAGCACGCACAGTGACTTGCGCGTGAATTAGTTTATAGTGAGAGTAGACTTACGCAGCATCTACCGCACTCTCTCCTCCTCCTCCTCCTCCTCCTCCTCCTCCTCCTCCTCCCCCACCTGGACCCGGTGTCAAGACAGAGTCAAGAAGACGGAGACGGGGGAGGGAGCGCAGTCGGATGGCACGGTCGAGCCTGCATCTTGGTGACATCCACTGCGTGCCTCAAAGACTGGGCGCAGCACCGGTATCTTGCGCGCGAATTTTTTTTTTATTATGAATGAACCTACCGCACTCTCTCTTCCCTCACCCACCTGGCTCCGGTGGCAGGCCAATGTCAAGACGTCCGGCGGTGAGTGCGGGCTCAGGGACTGACAAAGCTAAACGGCCCGTCTACGCGGACCACACACATGACCTGTCCTCCAAAGCATGCATCAGGCCTCCGTAAGGGCGACTCAGAGCTCACGTGTACGAGAGTATCGTAATGGTCACATTGGGAAGGAACCACTGACAAAGCAATTCACCCCCCTTACTGACCAGATAATCGTGTCGAACAATTTGCTTGATGTTCTTAGGCCATGACCGAGTTGTCCTGTCAGTTGGGACCCCCCGAAGCCATGACTATTAGAGCACTGTGGTGGAGTAAGGCGCGTCAGATTCATTATCATGAGAAATGCGCCGCATTGCTGTGAAGATGGATTTTTTAGTGTCAGTTACACTCTCTTTTCCCTTTCCGCTGTACGAGCCTGACAGTCGACTGGATTGGGCTCAGTGACTGACAGTCCGTCTACGTGAGCCACGACGCACGCCGAGAACATGTATGTAATGTATGAACCCTTATTGAATACCAGGATGTGAAGAGTGGCGTGCGCTCCCAGGGTATATTGAGTAACCTAAAAGCGGGCAGTCGCGGGAATGACCTATATCTAGGAAACTTTGCCAGAAACAGGCCATACACGCAGTCAGATAAAGTTTGCTATTCAGAGGTAAGGCAGCATCAATTATTTGCAGTGTAAACAAACGTGTCTTGGTAGAACACCCATAGCGGAATGGGAAGGTCAGCGGTTCGATCCCGTCCGTGTGCATCCAGGGGTCACCAAAGGCGGTCCGCCTACGCAAAACTCCGGTCGTCCTGCCTCCTCACTGTCATGCGAATGCATCGGGTGTGGGCAGAGAGAGAGAGGGTGAGGTTGACGCTGCGAGAGCCTCCTTAATCGGCAGCTCGACCATCGCGAACGACGATACCCGTCGTAGGGCGGGCGCAGGAGCGGCAACTTGCACGCGAACGCGCAGACTTGAACGGCATCTACCGCATCCTCTCCCCCCTCCAGCCGCCTTAGTCAGACAGAGTCAGGAAGACCGGAGGCGAGATCGGACACAGTGGTTGACAAGACTGGACAGCCCTCTACGCGTACCACACACACGACTTTCCCATTAGTTGGCAGCCTTCCTGGCCACGGTTCCTAGTACATCGTGATAGTCTAGAGTCGCTTGAGTTTGTTTATATTGAGAAATACGCTCTGAGTACTGTGGGGACGCAACCTCTCTTCCTTTTCTTGGGCAGTAATTCACTGTACGAACTAATCAATCATCTGATGCGGGGATTGAGCCTGTGCCTAGGCGTGCCGCTAATTCCCCCCTCAAATGTGTAGCATTTGCTTCGGACACGCACTCCCAATTATGGGTTTCGTGCCCTTATCTAGCCCGCACCTTGGGCAGGTGCATTTCATGCGTGGCCCAATGTAGGGGACACAACCTACTTAGTGGTAAAGGGACGCTCACTGGTCGAACTGGAATGACCATTTTTTGGCCTATAAACCGTCATCAGCCAGCCACATCCAATCTGAGGTGTGAAACTCCCGCGATTTGTTGGTTGGAAGTCCAACGTCCCTAACCACTGAGTTACGGACTCGTTGTCCTGTCGGTTGCGATCGACTGGCGACGGCTGATAAGCTAAAACTGTCTCCCTTATCTTCTTCGGCAACGCTATATAGCCTGCTAAATCACAAACAGACACACCCACAGGTCACCGACTAAGTTCACCTCATAGGAGAGTAGTGAACCACATTGCACACGACAGTTGGACTATTCAGGCAAACGGTTCTGGTAATTAGCTCGTGAAAGACTATCTCGGGCGTATAACACAGTGTCGAAGAAATTGCGAGTATACTTCACAGTTATTTGCGTATCTTCTCAAATGCGTTTTAGTGTTCCGGATATTTACGAAGGAATGCACTAAGCAGAACTTACTGACCAAGCAATTCACCTCCATAACTGACCGGATAATCGTGTTGATCAGTTTGCTTGATGTTCTTAGGCCATGAGTTCGGCATCAAAACCGGTTAATGGTGCCCCTGCAAGATTCTACTCGGCTTCTCTTCTTCAGACAAGCAGACGCTTTCGGCCGAAGAGACGTAGTGTCAGAAGACGAAGATCTGATCAGTGGAACAAGAAATTTATTGGCCTGACGTTTCGGATTCTCACTCGAATCCATCATCAGAGACAGTCGCAGATAAGGGTAATGGCGGCACAAGGAGTGCAGTATTTATAGCACGTGGCCGCCGTGGGACCATATGCGCACTGTAAATAACAGCTCTCACAATCACCGCTGGGGTTGCAATCGAGGCGATAGTGGCTTGTCAGTCCGCGTCCGAGTAGTTAATGACCGTGATTTCGTCATCCATGCTGGATGCTGGTGTGACGATTGCTCGGCAAATTGGCCACTGTCACTGGGATAACTGCTTCCGCGCACCCTCCCCAGGTGACTGATTCCACTGCCCGAGGAAATTCTCAGAACGGAATATGGTACCGGGAGGTCATTGCACTTGTTGACGGATTGCGGGCCTGAGAACCATGACTCGAGCAGCTCGCGGCTCACGCGGTCGTCACCCCTTGCGAGGATTTCGGCCTCTTGAAACTTGAAAATATGGCCGGGTCCCGTCAAATGAGCCGCCACCTGAGAGCTAGCGTTTGCCTGCCTCACTGCTGCTATGTACTCGGCAGTTCGCGTCCGGAGTAATCTCCCAGTTCCTCCGACGTAGTTGCTTTGTCCGCAACTGCACCAGATCCGGTAAACGACTCCTGACGTTTCCTGCAGTGACCGTGGGTCTTTCGGCCTCATGAATTGGCGCCTAATGGTTGCTTATAGCCTGTGTGCAACCCCAACTCCAAGTGGAGTGAGTAGGCGGCTGATGGCTTCAGAGACGTTCTTCACGTACGGAAGAGCCCGCCAAAATTTTGGGCCGGTTGGATTTGGTCTCGGGTGTCGTCTTCGCATGCACTGGTTGACAAATTTGCGCGGGTAGCCACTGGCTCTCATTACCCGCCAAAGATATTGTAGAGTCGTTTACCGGATCTGGTGCAGTTGCGGATTACAATATCTTCGACGGGTAATGAGAGCCAATGGTTACCCGCGCAACTTTGTCAACCAGTAGCCGCTCATCGGACAGAGATATGGGGTCACCTATCTATGTCTTGGCTACGCGGATTCCTCGTCCGCTGTTCCCAAGATACATGCGCTTAAAGTGCTTTTATCTGTGGGTGGCAGCCGAAACGCTGTCGGCCTTGCAAACAAAATAAAAGACACCTGACTCAGAAAGTACTTCTGCAGACAAGAAGACCCCCAGACAGTATGTTGCTCGCGTGAATACTGCTCCACTTAACACTCGAGAGAGCTCTGAAAACAGTCCAACTTCGATTTGCATCAGACTGGCAGATCCGATTTCACCTCCGGGGAAGCCTTGTTAGCTGAGGGCCGCGAAAAGTCCAAATGTCGCAGACCGTCCTCCTGGTGTATAGGAGCCGCAAAAAACGTTCACAATCTTGTCCTTCAAGGCACGAGTAAGTCGGCGACTTTAACCCTTATCCGATCTCATGAACTGTTGGCTGAAATTTTGAAGTGCGTTTTCGATTAGGAAGGATTACTTGGGCGCGGTTGTAATAATTATTATCTTGGGGCATACTCTTATAACATTCGGACTCGGCAGGATGTCAGCTTTTGGATACACTGCTTTCCAATCTCCTGTAGAAGCCGTACTTGGTGAAAAATGACTACTTATTAAGCATGTATTTTTCCAATTGATTTTCGATGCACTTATATTTTCAAATATATTTTATAGAAACCATAAACAAAAATATGCTTCCTTTCAGTCATTTGATAGAGAATTACATCGTCTTTATATTTTATACTCAAGGATGGATTATAGTTAGGCTTTAAGAAGTTTCTTATTATGCGATTTTTTAAGACCGCTCAATGTCTATTCACATAGTATCGTACCTGGACGTCTAGCACAGCTCCTCATGGAATGTGCAACATAGTCCGCATCCATTGCAAAATTTAATGGACTTTTTATGATATATTTTTAATGGCATAGAAAAATATGTTAGTTTCTTTGCGCGGAACTCAGGCATCATGTAGACTGAAATCACTATGCGCTAATGCAACGAATGATCAGGCTGCGAATTATTCGGCAATTAGAAAACCTTTTTAAGGCCTAATTGTACTACTTCCTCGGGTATAAAATATAAAGACGTGATTCTCTATTTATTGACTGAGAGAAAGCATATTTTTGTTTATGGTTTCTATAAGATGTATTTGAATTTGCAAGACCATTGAAAATCAAAGGGAAAAATGTATGCTTAATAAGTAGCCATTTTTTACCAAGTACGGCTTCTACAGAAGATTGAAAAGCAGTGTATTCAAAAGCTGATATCCTGCCGAGCCCGAAATGTTATAAGATTATGCCGCAAGATAATAAGTATTACAACCGCGCCCAAGTAATCCTTCCTAATCGAAAAGGCATTTCAGAATGTCAGCCAACATTTCGTGAGATCGGTCACTCGCTGTAACTACTGATTCCGACTTTAAATGCAACGGTACTTAGACCCACCCGTCTCAGGCTAGCAGTCCTATTAAAATCTAGCTTGCAGGCCTCACAGGTTGAACCGTAGGTTTCTGGCATTCAGATATACATGATGCGTTCCGACGAATTCACAGGCGCTATGCTCTGTGCGCCAAATTGCGACAAACAAACTCGGACGCCGCGATAGTTTTAATTATCGAGGAGTATAACAAATTTGCAGCTTATCTGTTTGCTTTTGTAAACTGCCCATAACTGAACCTCTGATCGGAAAACCTGTCTCGGACCCAGCTGGTCATTGGACTGGAGCCGCGTACAATCATTCGCGATGCGCACTTAAGGTCACGTGAGAGGGGGGTTCTTCGATGTGAAATCCTCGCGAGGCGACATCGGGAGCGCTCTTATCCCACCCTGAACTGGTGATCACAGCTCTCACGTGACCTTGAATGTTCCCGATTGCAGTCTCTCGAGCGTGACCACGTGAGTTAAACAGCGCTGAGCCGAGCTCAACGACCATCTCTGTCCTGACTCGACCTCCAGGTCTTTCCGACGGCGAATAAAACGGAAATGGTTACGCCATTATCTCCCCCCTGTGTGTCGGAAACCGTTCTCGATAGTTCACTGCCAGTTGCTATGCGACAGCTGTTGAATAAAGCTGCAGTGGCAGGAGCGGACGTCCGTTTTCCGCCCTGGAGCTGACCACATCGATGGGCACGAGGTTTTCATGGGTTCTCAATATGGTGGGCGTTTTAATTTCTCCAGAAATTAATGCGCGAACTCAGTGTAAATGCTTCGGGAGCAGCATTTTAAAGTTCGATCCGAAAGTTGAAATAGATATTTGAGCTGACGTTCATTATCTTCAGCGGAGTGACTGACGGTTAGACCGTCGATTTCGACGATGTCCACCGTCTGCTCCACATCAAAGTGAGAGCGGGGACGGTGACTTGCGCGTGAACTAGTTTATACTGATAGTGGGCTTGCGAAGCATTTACTGCACTCTCTCCTCCTCTACCCCCTGAAGCCGGCGTCATGACCGAGTCAAAAAGACCAGAGGTGGGAGAAGACGAAGTTGGCTGGCGCAGCCGGGGCCGCTCCTTGGCGTGCACCCACACCCGGTTCGAAGCCCACACAGCGGAAGTGCCATTGCAGCCTGACTTTCGACCCACCAGTCGACCACTTCACGCAACAACACGCAGGTGTGAGTTCCAAGCTGTCCTGTCAGTTAGTAATATTCCAAGCCGTGGCTTTTGGCGCACTGTGATAGCTCCAAGCGTGTCAGATTGCTTATAATGAGAAAAATGCACTGAGACGTCGGCCTCACTCTCTACTCCCAACCCCAGGCACCAACCAGCGGAATAACTGCATGATAAGTACGTTCTGACAACAGGCAGTCAGCAATATAAAAAAACTGGTTGATTTGCCATACTCCCGGGAATTGGCTTCGTCGATTTTATAACGTTGCATGACGCAGCTGGGAGGGATTTCGTTCATGAGTGAGTCAGCGAGTCATCATACTGACAGAACGGGTAGGAAACAGAAGCCCTGACTAGATCTGTATACATGAAGTTTTCGCGCCTTCACAATATGCTTGGGCGGCTCCGTTCAAGTTATAATGCGTGATGTGTGAATCGTAAGAAGGAAAACGGTCAGTCTGGTATTTTATTTTGCGCCAGTACAGTTCCATAGAAAGCAACCGGGTTTTTGACAATTCTCTGAAAAAGAGTTAGTGCGACATCCTTATTCAGTTTTGCGACTACTTAAGGCCCTGACTTTCAGTAGTATTGGAATGAAGATGGGGGCGTAAGGTCTCATCGGGCCACTAACTGGTGTTGCTTCGTGCTCTTCTTAACTGGCCTCTCTTGGCTTCTCTGCAGTGGATTGTCTTGTGGCGTTTAATCCAGATCAGGGTGGGACTGACTTTTGTGGCTCCCTAAACAGAACATGGAATTAGGAACGCCCCGGCCAAGTAATGAAGGTGGACCTGCGTATAATTCTAGAAATGGGAAAAATATTCCCTCCTATTAACTCCAACAATAATCCTAGTATAAAACTAAACCGTTGCCCCGATTTTAACTCTAACCCTACGTAAGCGCATAATTCTGCAACTTACTCTAGCCCCCACCTTAAACCGAAACTTGATCCTGACTTACATTACCGTTAGCTTTAAATCTAGTCTTAACCCTATTCCTTAACTTACAGTAGGTGGGCTAACTCGTGAAATGTCAACCGAAATTTCGAAATGCGTTCTCGTTTCGAAAAGATTAATTAAGTACAGTTGTAAAACTAATTATCATGTAGCATAATTCTACAATGATCCAGTTACCTCAGGGTGTCGGCTTTCGAATGAACGTATTTTCGACTGCATGCAAGAACTGTACTCTGAAAAAAACGACTACTTAAGTAGCATGCAGCTTTCTCATTGACTTTCGATGCCCTTAAAAATTCAATTATATATCATGGAAAACATGCATAAAAATATCCACTCTTTTGATCATTCGGTAGAAAATCACTTCTTCCGAGTTTTACTCGAAAGAAGGGTATAATTCGGTTTGAAAAACTTTTCTAATTCCCGAATAATTTTGAACTTGACCTGCTGTTACACTGGCATTCAGGGTTCCAAAACTACAAGCCGTTTTTTCCGTGTACGGAAAATCAGGCATTTCTCTACAGTATTAAGAGGAGACCATATGGGGTTCTTAAATGAAGCAGTGAATTTGAGCAGTATTGTTAACTTTACAAGCCACATTCGTAAACGCAGATACATGACGTTTTATGAACGGGCATTTCACGGTACTGAAATATCTCACAATTAGAAATTTTTTGAAACCGAATTATACCCTTCCTTCGAGTTTAAAATTGAAAGAATACCTGATTTTCTACCTAATAAGTGAAAGAATGAATATTTTTATGCATGTTTTCCATGATATATAATTGAATTTTTAAGGGCATCGAAAGTCAATGAGAAAATTGCATGCTACTTAAGTAGTCGTTTATTGCAGAGTATAGTTCTTGCATGCAGTCGGAAATACGTTCATTCGAAAGCCAACACCCTGAGGTGACTGGATCATTATTGAATTATGCTACATGATGTTTAGTTTTACAATCCTACTTAATTAATCTTTTCGAAACGAGAACGCATTTCGAAATTTCGGTTGACATTTCGTGAGTTAGCCCACCTACTGTAATCCCAACTCTTACCTTAAATCTAGCCCTAATTTCACTTGATGTCTGCTCAAAGACGTTCGTGTTGCAGGCGGCTACTGTTCTCATGTCCTGTTTAGACATTCACAGAAGTCATTCCTACCCAGATCGGTGTGCATGTCACCACGTTTAACTCGTGACAGACTCAGAGAAACAAATTTCTATTGAGGAACACCCACCCACTCATTCACTCGGTGTAAGCACGAGAATTCAAATTTCAGGTTTACTTTGGCTCTTCACTAGCAGGCACTGGACAGAGTAGAAAGTCAAAAGACCTTTTCAGTTCAGTTCGGTTTTAAATGCAATTTGCTTCTGTAATTTTCCAAAATTTATGAACTTTCAAATCTGTTTCGTCGCGCACACACGCACACTCAACTTTACCTGCTTGCTGAGCAGCAGTCGCGCATTTCTCGCAAACCAGCGGGGGCGGGCTTCTTTATGCGAGCATGCTTGCCGATAATCTGGCTTTGTAGATATGACCTCGTGCATTTACAGCAATCCTCCAGACTTCGGTTCATTGCTGACCTCAATCTCCGCTCTGCGCTCGAGATACCGCACCGGCAGCCTTCTGGCCACTGTAGACTCCGCTGTTACAAACTTCACACACAGGAGAGAGAGAGGGCACCATTTAGACTCGAGACAATGACCCGGTTCAGCATGTCCTTCTTCGGGTTCATCTCTTGTATCTGCCATGCTTGTGAGGTCACCCTAACTAGCACAGGACATGGCCAAATTTGGAGGTGTAGGGGCCAGAACACCTGTGTAAGGAAGTATGGAATGCTGATCATTCGAAAAGTTAAGTTGTATATCCGACGTCCCTTCAAGTGACCTGGCCCCTCTTGTTCCTGTCAGAGTTGGTGGCCGACGACCCGTGCTGCAGGCGGTTACCGTTCTCATGTCCTGTTTAGACGTCTAAATAAGTCGGTCCTGGGGTCTCCTTATTGGGAGTTAAAGTTCTGCCACCTAAACTTTCAGTCGATTGACTGATTGGCAGTCCACTGGATAAGTCATTTTCGGGACGTTATGTTGGTCAGTCACCCCCTTTACACGTGAGATTTCGTATCCCGAGACCGAACTCATCTGTTCCGATAAAGTTCTCCCAACTACGAACTCAGTCCTCATAGCCCAATCTCACGCGTGGAAGGGATCGTCATCGCTGACTGAGTCGCATGACTAAGTCGTATTTACGCGCTTGTATCCATGCGAGCGTCTGAGTCATGCCGTGTGTGTGCTTGGTTGCTAAGCCACGTCATGTAACTGACACGAAAGTCCTCTCTGGTGGAAGATGTAGTTTTTTTGTGTTTAGCAGTTTCTGCTGAGAGGTGTACACCTCTTCAACAAAACCGCACGTTTGGCTTTTCTTATTTCCTATATTAGATGACAAAATCCGCCTTCCGGGACACCATTCAGTTGACACGAAATTGTCCTGTTCATCCACGCCTGCACCGACTAGTGAGTCTATATAAGGGGAATTTTCTGCAAAAAAACTAGGAATCAGGACCGAATCGTCATCTGCAGGCCTGGTGAATCGTATTTTAGACCTACTGTACGGTAAGACGGTCTTCGACAAACGGTCTTTACGATCGACCAATCCGGCAAGACCTGGAGTTCACAAAAAATCCCAAAATATAAACCACGCTTAGTAAACACGTGCTAGAGTAGAAAAGGCTGCGGAAAGATGTGGTTATGTAGCCCCACCTGACGGACACAATACGGTTGTCGTTGGGGTTAGGGCAGCTATTTCTCAACCACTCAAAGTACAACCGCGCATTCCCAATAGCTTTTCTTTTGCATACAGCTACTTGACCTCGTCGCCTGTGCGTTCCCCGGCCCCACCTGTAAAAACCCCTATTATCACCGGTCCCGTATTACAGGTGGCTAGGATTTTTTTTACCTCAGGTGCGGCTACATAAGCACATCCAACCAAGGCTGCTTCAGATGCAGTTTCGACGCGGATCAAGGTTATTTGGAAACGGCAGCACGCCGACGTTCGGTTAAACATTTACGGCCGCTTGTATGGACATCGCTCAGAATAAGACAACCTCGAAGATAGGGTTTAACTTTTTTCGCAATTTTCTGTGCTTGTATTATGTAGTTTTACATATAATTCAGTTTGTGCATTTTGCAAATAGCATTAAGAAACCTGAGAATATGACTCTATCTGCGAGCGTTCGAAAAAGTCGTAATTACATACTCTTAAAGCTGAGGGACATGTATCTCTGGAGGGAAAGTACTGAATTAGTAATTTCCTATAAAAACGAATGTATTAAATGAATTTTGCACATTCCTTACGAACGGCATGGTTGGATTAACGGAGACGTAGGTAATCGGTGGATGCGTGCGCGTGCTACTTAAGTAACGTTTTCGTTCGTGTGAGATTTACACATAAGCCGAGAGAGATATCCAACCAAAATCTAACGGGTTTCCATGTTTGAATAAGTCTGCTGGTACGTTCCGGGCCAATCAGTATTGAGCCGTCACATTGGTTCATGCTTAGTGAGGTTCAACGCCCCACTTTACTGTATCTCTCAAGCCTAGTGCGCTCCTTTCCGCTTTTTTGTGCGACAGAGCCCTGAGTTCCTCACTTATTGTCAACTGAACCAGTTAACCTTCATTGTATTTCGCTCCACCGTTATTGTTGGCTTGGCGTGCTGTTTTTGGTCCACATGAAGGACTGCACCGCAGATGCGTTGGAAGAAGACGGGCATAGGACTGACTCACAACACGAGTTTACCGGGCTGTGCAAAGTCTGCTAGAGTCCACAACTACAGCCTCGCGTGCGCATGTAGCACGCCCTAGACTTGCACGTCGCCTCAGCCACTGCACCCAATCGCATCATCCGTGCGATTTACAGGCTCGTAGAGGGGAGATAGGGTGAGGTCGACAATGGGGAATCCATGCCCACGGCCGGTTTACACCATCCTCGCTCTACTGCATCCAACGCGCTTGAACCTTTAACAATGCGTCAGGAGTCGTGGCTTGGGAGGTTGCCCACCGAGGGGATTGGCCGGTCCTCCTGATGAGTATTTCGGAACTACAAGAAGACTGAGAGTTGGGCTGCAATAACTCAATACGGCCTCCACAACGCCCTCACAAGTGTGAGGTCCGAGCTGCCCTTATGCAAGCCCGGCACGTTCAGTGGGGACGAGGTCTTGTGGGTGGTCCGCGTAGACGGGTTGTTTATTTTTGTCAGCCAGCAAGCCCGCGCCGGTCCCCGCCCTTTTAACATTGCCCCTCCATCGGAACCAAGTGATCGAGGAAGAAGGTAGGGTGCCAGTCACCTTTGCTGGACTGGTTGGTCGCGGAGACTGATTCCTCAATGTCGACCTCACTGTCTCTTCCATCTTTCTTGCGCCAGCCGAATGCCTGAACCTGTCGCTCAGCAGGTGGTGGCATAGTCGGCGAAGGTGGGCGGACGGTAAGACGAGTATATAGTGACAATGACCACATGAGTTTGTGATAACACGTCTCCGTCTGCAGCGTAACCCTTCTGCCCAATTTGCTTTTTTCACCCTTTTTTTAGAACCCGCCTGAATCGCATGTCAAATATTCTCCTACTTAGAGGCAAATCTGGAAAACTAAAAGACTCAATCGAAGAAGAGGCCGATCGACAGTGGAGACTGCACGGAACGCTGGGCCATCGGCCGCTCAGCGCCGACCTCCACACACCGTCTTCATCATGGCCGCGGCCGCCAGTGCACGAGTCCCCATCCTCAGCCAATGGGAACTCGAGCTGCCGCTGCAGCGCACTGGCGGCCAATCACGAGGCCCCTCGGGGCGCAGTGATGTCGCGGCGACAAAGGTACGCCAGCTCTTGACACATGGCCTCTCTTTTTTATGCCTCCGGATTCATTAAAGTCACGCCCAAAAGGTGCAAACGTACGCAGCGGGGTTCTACGAGCATCGTTGTCACACCCAAAACCTGCATGAAATGGGTGAACTCTTAAAGCATGCCGGAAGTCTTTCAAAAAAGTGGAGGGTCGCAGCATGTACCAAATCTCATGCGCTAGAGTTGATTTTCAGACAAGAAAGGTGACTCATATAGGCTTGCAATACTTATTATTATGCAGCGAAGTATTTTATTATGAAGGCGCGATCTGCTGGCTCCAGAGTTAGAATTTACTCGTCTTTTCGAAACAAGATTTCTTTGCGAGAAGGGCTTTCATCGATCGTTTTGCGGGGCATGCTTGTCCCGTTGCGCCTCTCAGACATTCCCATTACGACCTCTAATGATGTAGGAAGGAATGCTGGTAAAGACAAGGGTTTCTGTCAGGTCAACGGGCTCGTGGCCCAGTGGTTAGAGGCGTGGACTTCTAACTAACAGGTCGCGAATTCGAGCCTCGGGTGTGCCCCACTTCGGGGTTTGGGTATGACTGGCTGACGACGGCTAATAAGCCAGAAATGGCCATTCCAGTCTCCATTGTCTTTGTCGGTAATAGCATTCTGCCTATATCATGGCGCCGCTGTGGGGTTGCTGGTTGGGCTCGAAAGAGAGCCCATAAGGCACAACGGAACGAGTGACTTCCGTAAGAACGATCGGTGAGCGCCCCTCTACCATTGTATATTCCCGATCGAAACCGACAGGTCAACGGGCTCGTGGCCCAGTGGTTAGAGGGATGGACTTCTAACTAACAGGCTGCAAGTTCGAGCCTTGGGTGTTCCCCAATTCGGGGTTGGGTATGACTGGCTGACGACGGCTAATAAGCCAGAAATGTTCATTCCAGTCTTCCTTGTCTTTGTCGGTAGTAAGATACGGTTTCTGTCTTATTAGTCGTCTTTAGCCAGCCATACCCAATCCGAGGCTTGGATAACCTGGGACGAGCATGTCCTGAAACTCTATTGGTAGACGTCCTTCCTCTGATAGTATAGGTCTCCAGTTTTAACCGACGACAAAATAGGGACCGGTGGCTCAGTGGTATAGCCTGGGACGTAAAAAACCCAGCAGGAAACATCCCGGATTCAAATTCAAGGTCTTAAGGACCTGGGGTTAGATGAGGCCGGTTGACGTTGGTCAGAAATGGCCGTCCAGGTCACCTATGCTTTAGTCGGTAATCCCTCCTGCACTTATCTATTGTCCGATCGTCTCACTGATGCTTCCCTGAAGTTGGAAATGCCTCCGAGGCAAGACAAACATTTTGAGAGTTCGCGCGACTGAATTTGCAGTCTACTTTCTGCTCACGAAAGGTGCTAGTTGGTCTGGAAATGCATAAATCAGAATCTGGCGTCATATTGTTTTGGTAATAAGTAGAACGTCCTCGGGCAACACCCAAACCGGACAGTAATGAAATCTTATGGAAATAACAGAAACCAGCAGTCTCACTGCATGCGTGTATTTGTAGTTGATACGCAGTCCTGTCACCTTAAGTAGAGACCGGTATTCCTCAAAGCCACTGGCGCCAGTCGTATAAGGAAGAAAGAAACGAACCACAGAGTGCTGGCGTGAGCAGGGCGCTGTTATTTGTAGTCGTGTCACTCTGTAACGAACGTTTTAATTCATTAAAACAAAGCAACCTACATCATTAAAAATGCTGAATTTTGTAAGACATGGATAACAGGTATGTCCGGATGATATGTTTGAAGAACAACCGAATTATCAAAACATTAAAAAGCTGGATTTGTTGATAATAGCATGTCAGATAATCTTAGTCCTACCAATCAGAGAAAAACATTGCCACGAAAATGGAGAAGCGCTAAAAGTCTACCGGGTTCGAAGACCTTATCTCCCATGTCCAATTTTCTAGCTTCACTGGCTTCGCTGCTTTTTAATTTCCCCAGAAATTAACTGTAAACTTGGAGTAATTCAGTACATTCTAAGTATTTAGGCTCCGACCGAAGTGTTTATGCATGAATATTTGGGCCGAAGTCCGTCAGCCACAGCGTAATATTCACTAACTGCCGACAGGCAACTAGTAGTATACTTTAGGGTGAAGGCATACCATACTAACAGCACAGGTATTCACCAAAAGCCCATACACGCGTGTTTCGCGGATATTCTGCCGCTGCATGACGCAGCTGCGAGGGGTTCGGCTCATCCTTATATTACGTTGTCGGTTTGAGTGTCTATGTACACTCACTGAGTCCGCCCACTTAAGTTTCTGGACAATTTTCTGAATTTTGAATTTTGTGCAACCCTGCAACAGCGCTGCTTGTTGTCCTCATACGTGTCTGCTTTGAATAGACCTCGCATGATTCAATGGACGTTTCCTCCGTCCTTGTTTGTTATTTCTCCTTGGACGTCGCATGTTTCGGTCTGGGGTGACGGAGCAGGTAAAGCCCTGGGCTAACCACTACCGCCTTCAGCCCAGATCATGAAGAGGAAGAGGATACGTAGCCGTACCTGGTAGGGGTTAGGGGTAAGGAGTTAGGGTGAGGGATCAAGGGTTAGGGTTAGACGTCAGGAGTTGGGGTTAGGGTTAAACACCCTATTATCACTGTTCCAGTATGACAGGCGGCTGGGTCTTGTCTACTGCAGGTACGACAACGAAATAAGATCCGATCGAATCTGCCATAGCAACCTGGCGACCGGACGAGAGACGCGCACACCCGGCGCAGCCGCAACAGGCGCTCGGGTGTCCTGGGCGAGAGTATGTCTGTGTCAGCCTTGAAGGTGATTGGCCGGTTTCGACAATTGTGATTGGCCGAACAACAGACAGAGTATCTCGGTTTCAGCTATTGGCCTGACGCGATGTGATCATTATGCGGAGTCTCACCATGTCCAACGAACGACTGATGCTGGTGTGTGCAGGTGCAGTGTTTCCGCGGGCACCGGAGTGGGATCATTATGGGGGTGCCATGGAGCACTGTCATTTCATTGTTATGCATTCCCAAAAGTCATGCATGGCTTGGACAAGCTATACCCGAAACTCCCCTGCAATGGAACTTTTACCAATCGGATTACTTTTCCTCTTAATTCTGTATTATGGCTGGATCTTATTTCGTAGCCGTACCTGCAGTAAACAAGCCCCAGCTTAACTCCTAACCCTAACCCCTAACAGGTACGGCCACGAAATATGATTTTTCCCGTATTGTTTTTGGGTTCGAAACACTCTTTGCTGACGGTTAATTTCTATTTATCAACACTACTTTAAGGGGAAAAATATACGCATAAAAATCAGGATATGAGTAAGCCGACGGACTTATTCATTCGTCACACATCACGCTCTAACTGGTCAAGCACTGGACTATTTCCAATGCCGTTCGAAAATGAATACGATTGATCTGAAAAGTCACAAGGGAGTTAAGGCAGACACAGCGATACTTTTATGTATGCAGAATGTCATCCATGAAACTGCGCCTGCCATCGGTTGTTCAACCATGTAACAGGAATTGTCATTGCCCACGAACCTCAAACTCGTCTGCTGGTCACGTATAGCTGCTTTTCACGCGACTTTCCTCCCATTCACACAAATTTAACACTTTTGATAAGGTCTTCCTGTTTTTGCTTGCACGATCGGCGTATTGTTCCTGCGGAAGCTGTACTTTTCTGCGGCCGGTTTTAGAGATCCTTGAAGCATTCAGTCTTGAGATTCTAGCAGTTTTTGGGATTTTATTAGGACTGAAATTTTAAGGATCCTATGTGTCTAGGCTATGCCACGCGTGAAGTTTTTTGACGTCCCAAGTCAGGGTAACGGACCGAAGAAGCCTTTTTGGTTCGAGACCAGATACAGTCGGATGTGCCAATCATGTCAAGGCGCAGTTAGGACGAGCATGTTCCGTCTTGCAATCAAGTCGCGCCAGCCGTGTGTGCCATCTACAGGCTGATGCCCTGGTTCACCCAGACTTCGCATGGCGCCATCTCGTGTAGTTATGACTCGTTAAAATACTGTTTTCAAGTAATTATTGATTTTTGACTGAGTGCATGTTTTGTACGCATAGAAAATTGGTTTATCATGGTCTGAAAAAGCGCACAAAATTGAATTCCGACACGTAGAGTAAGTGTCCGATCTCATGAAATGTTAGCCGGAATTCTGAAATGCGTTTTCGACTTGGAAGGATTACATAGCTGAAGTTGTAATATTAGTCACCACGAGGCGTAATCCCATGATATTTCGAACTCGCCAGAATGCTGGCTTTTCGATGTACTTCTTTGCGGCCTCCTGTAAAAACCCCACTAGAAAAAACCGGCTACTTAAGTAGTACACACTTCACATCGGTTTTCGATGGCCCTCTAAATTGAAATGAGAGAGAAGTAGGGATTTAATTTCTTTTGAAAGTATGGATTCAAAATTGCCAGCAAAAAGGGCTCTATCCGCTGTGTAAAGAAAGCAAGTCAACAAATTACTCGAAAGACAAAAAGTCTTGCATATAAAGGAACGACTAATTATGGGGACATTTCAAGGCTTCTATATCTCTGTCTCTTCACGCGTGGGATAGCGTGCCAGGAATGGTGATACAGAATTTCGAAATGCCAATGTAAGGCAAGAGATATGTCAAAAGCCACGACGCACTTTATATAAAAATCTGCGCAATATTTTTCTTTTACTCACTTGATAGCAAATTACGTCATACTCGCGTTTTCTTCTCGAAGAGAGATTACCTTTAGCTTTTAAAACAGGTTTTTATTTGTAAGGTTTTTAAGATCATAAGATGTTCATTCATACTGAATCGCACTTTTCCGTTTATTGGTGCTCCTCATGAAGTATACAACATAGTCCGCATCCATTGCGGAATTTTGTGAATCCTACATTGAATCATTTTAAAGGTAAAGAGAAATATACGACTTTTCTTACGCTGAAGTATGCACCCATAGACTGAAGCTGTTAAATACTAATGCAGCAGCCTCTTTGGCCCAAAATTACTCAGGAATGGGAAAAGTTTTGAAGTATAGAATGTGAAGATGACGTAATTTACTATCAAGTGAATAAAAAGAATATTTTTGTGCGTATTCTCTATAAAATGCATTTCAATCTACAGGGCCATTGAAAATCTATGCGAAAATGTGTACCAGTTATGTAGTCAGTTTATGCCGGATGAGTCTTTTACAGAAGGTCGCAAAGAAATACATTGAAAAGCCAACATTCTGGCGAGTTCGAAACATCATGGGATTATGCCGCGTGATGATTAATCTTACCACCTCACCTATGTAATCTTTCCAAGTCGAAAACGCATTTCGGAATTTCGGCTAACATCTAATGATGTCGGCCACTCGCTGTATTTCGTGGATTTTCATTGGCTGGGTAACGTGACTAGGAGAGTTTCAGTGCATCGGTGAGTTCTGCGACGTTTCATTTTGGTATCTCTTTATAGCCGCAACCTTCAAAGTGAAGTGGTGTTCACTCGCCGGGTGGCGGCAATGACTCAGCAATGTAGGTAAGAACGACATAAGATCAAAGCTCGTGGCTCAATCAGGAGTCTGTTTGAACACTATTTCGCGAAACAAGGTTTTGTTAACGTAAGCGAAAGAAGGAAACGACTTTGTAAGAACGACTGATGAGCTACTAAATGTCCTATCTGTTAATTTACGCCCCAGGACACTCCGAGATGGGTAATCGGCTGGATATGGGGAGCTCCCGATAAACGTCATACTTTTTGGGCGATCGCCACTATTGTCACCTACCGTCCTTGTTCAACATCCCCCCACATCAGGGTTGGTAACCTTCTCCGCGAACGGCATTAGCTGCGTTGAAACCACAGTCTGACCGACTGCAACACAGAGGAGTTTGGTGACCCCGACGTTAATGGGGCCGATATTTACCAAATATGTTTGAGACTTAGTCATTATGAGCAACCTTTCCTCGACGATATCTCTGTTACGCGGTCCACTTTGAGGCTCTGTGTCTGCCAGAATGGTGTAGTCGACCCTGAGCACGTTGGACACCCTCCTGCACCTTGTACGAGCGTGCCCATCCAACGGCATAAGTTGACGAGGAGGCACTAGTGCACCGCTCAATTGTTGCCTCGAATGCGCTTTTTGCCCCCGGATCGAGCCGCCAATTCGATCACCGTTGACGCACGTCATCTAGCCCTCGTGTGCCCTATACCAAAGCGACCGCTTCATCACTTTCTCCAAGGTCGACACATTCACTTTGCTTTGTGACCGCCGGCAAGCTGTAGACGACCGTGATCCTCACACCGCCCGCCGTCTTCGCCTTGTCGCGTCAAGCTTATTCATCCTCCCTGAAGAAGCCCCACACGCGCTATCCTTGCAACATGAATGGAAATTCACATCCAGGCGGATCAAGCCGTCCTTGCCTCATGTAATGCGACAGACCATTTGGCCACAGGGCCCTTGAGCTCACGCCCACAAGCCCAGTATATCAGTTGATGTAAAGCATAAATTTATATTGTCAGCACATTCCCCGGATTTGACAAAGGTAATCTCTCCCTCGGGTATCTCTTCCATATTCCGCTGTTCACTAGGACTTGGCTTGATGACTGATGGTCTGTCAGGTTCTAGTCGAAACAATGGGTGCACATAAGACCACAGACTCTCATTTACGACTATATTTGCGCCTAAATGCCCGTTCATTTTCCATGCCGGGGCAGAAAACTAAAATCAATAACTGCGCACCGTGTTTCCTGTTTTAGAATGCTTTCTGGACAGTCTGAATACCCATGTGCGGGACAACAGTCTCAAAATGTAACCTGGCGTCTAATTCGAGACAATGTTCCAATTGAACTGGTGCTTGGTACGTGGAAGACGAATTTTTACCTTAAAATTTTGCCTTGTGGTTGACTGATGACACTCTGTTCTCCGAAACGCGTATGCTCCCTATGTGTAGTTTTGACATCAAAGTGCTTCGCTAGTAGACGCATTCTAACTAGGCCATTGGTGACTACTCATCACCCTAAAATAAATAGTACTCGCTAGATATGGGCAGCACGCAACACAAAAGGAAAAGACCAATCACCACCAAAAAACCCTGTTTCCCATTGTAAAGACTTCCGGTCTCTTTGTAGGCACTGTGGGATGTTTGCAAATGAAAAACAGGACGCCCGAGGGCGGGGAAGGAATTTGCGGACCCAGTCTGCGGCTCATTCTGAAATCTGGTGTGCTGTGTTCTGTGACTAGGTCTTTGAGCAAAAATGCATTTGATGGTAGTTGGTGCATGATACTGCACGCAAAGGGCAGGAAGCCTTGAATGGCCGCTGCCAGTCCAGTTCTAGTCATCAGTCAACTGGATGACCGAGTAACGTGGCTTCAACTCATAAGCTTGGTATTTGGACTTGGTCGACTGATGATCGTGGATAGGCAAGAAACGACCACTCCAGTCGTCTTCCTCCACTGTCTTGCCATCTCTATGGCACTACTGACTGCTTCTTACTGTGTAACCTCCTTCGACGACCCAAAAAATGTCTCTTTTTGTACTCAGATGAGTGAAATGCCACCCTCACACTACCCTACGCTTCATTTCTGCAATTCTCACTTGTAGATACTAGCGACTTCACAGTGTGCTGCAATGGGCGGGAAGTGCGTAACATTGAGGTGAGTTGTCTTCTGTCTAACAGGAAATGCTGAAGTATTTATTGGTGAAGTTAAGTGCCGTTTTTCTTTCGAATGCCTCCAGCCATCAGTGAGGTTTGCTTCAGAGACATGCCTCGCTGGGCTGAGGCAGTCTACAGTAAATTGCGTGACAGGCTTAGGCAAATTCACGCTGTCCCATTGATTGAGCTATCCCGCGCAAATTCGCTGAAACCTAAACGTAGTTCATTATTCTTTTAAAGTAGAACTGATGCCTGTAAAAGGTGCTAAACCCCCACAGTCAGTGCGTAAATCTTCTGTTTGTGGGATTTCTGTATTTTCGTAGTTTGCATTGAAAAAACGTAATTGCAGCAAATCATTGGCATCTAGTCAGCAGTCAGCGAGGCTACGTGCTATCGCCTGCGGTGGTGGTGCGGTGTTTACGCTAAATTAGACACTATCAGGGGGTCTATTGAATGCGTGACGAGAACATCTAAGGTAATTTATGATGAGCTCTCCTGGCGTCACGAGGAAATCGATATACGCAAATGCAGTGGCAGCTAATGGATTATGGGTCCTTTGATCTTCCCTACTACTTAGACCCATCGTTTGGCTTAATTCGTCGATGATGACGCCCCCAGTCGGTCAAAATGGTAATCGCCATTTTGGACAGGCGAGGGGACGTCGGGCGATTGAGTTAAAGTTTAGTCCAAGACAAGATAGACTGGAATAGCCATTTCCGGCTTCTATTGGCCGTCGTCAACCAATCATACCCTACCCCGAGTTGTGCAACACCTGGGTCTCGATCCCGAGACCTGTTGATTAGAAAGAAGGGGATTACCAACGAAGACAAGGGATACAATGATGGTCATTTCTGGATTATTAGCTGTCATCAACCAGCCACACCCAACTCCGAGTTTGAGAGCGCATGAGATTCGAACCCAGGTTCTTTTGGCCATTCAGTCTTCTTTCCCGTCGGTCACGATCGGGAATATTAACTTGTCGATAGAGGCGAATAGGCGAGCGCCAGGAAACAGTTCAGAAGAAGATGCGATCATTGGAACAGGAAGTTCTGTTGGCCTGACGTTTCGGATGCTTACACCAACCCACGACAGCTGCCTCCACTACATTTATCTGCGACTGTATCCGATGTATCCATCACAGGGAACACTAACGGGAATGAACCGCAAAACAACTAAGACTCGTGAATATCGCAAGCGACCTTGGGTTGCTTTTTTCTCTCTGAGCTTGCACTGTAACCAAAATCTCAAAGTTCGGACCGCAAAAAGGCAGTGCCTCTAAGGACGCCTCTCCCACAAAAGGCCGTCCAGGTCTCAGGTATTGGCGAGGTTTGGTTCTGCAGCCCCACTTGATTGATACCATATAGTTAACTTACTAAAACAATTCTAGTTAATATATCTAACTCAGCCACTCGCTGGATTAAGAAAGGAAAAGGAACGCACGCAGAGCTCGAATTACGCGCAGGTAAGCGAGTGAAGGTGCGAATACGTGATGTTCACATCGACCAAAACTGAAAGCTAAACATATGGTATCACTCAAGTGGGACTTCAAGACCAATCCTCGTCCCGTGAGAATCCGAAACGTCAGGCTAATAAAACTTATTTCAGTGATCGCATATTAACTTGTGTTGGAAGTGAGTTCATCGATTGGGTTATAGTACACGATCGTTCAGCTGTGCCTTGAAGCTCAATGAAGAATACTCGCAGGCAGTCGCATAACCGCCAACAATGGTACAGAAGGCGGTACCAACAAAGACAAGGGAGAGTGGGATGACCATTTTTGGATTATTAACCATCTTCGGACCTACCCAACCCGAGGTTTAAAGGCACCTGGTGTTCGGACCCGTGTGTTCTTAGCTATTGAGCGTTAGTAAGTCCAAGCTCTAACCATTATTCTGTCATTTTGGACCGAGAATATTAACTATAGAGGTATAAAGATTGTTTGTCCAACGATATATATATATATATATATATATATATATTAAAGGTATTATACCGTACTCCCGACCTAGATACTTGCTAAAAGCCCAGACACGTGTTTCGCCGATATTCTGCCGCTGCGTGACACAGCTGCGAGGGGTTCGGCTCTTCAGTGGGACCCCCAGCGTTCTCTAGCGGTTTCCGGTATATGAACTCCAGAGAATAATCAGGTGAATAATTTCAGAAATTAATCAGTGCAGAACTTGGAGTTAAATCTCCGGGACATGACTTTTTAGGGTCAGAGCCGAAATTTCAATGAACATTTGAGTCGAAGACAATCAACTACTGTGGAATAACCACGTAATGCTTTTAGCAAGTATCTAGGTCGGGAGTACGGTATAATACCTTTACCATATGAAATTCATACTACTCGTAGTACTACTTGTTTGTAGAATGGGCATTACGTGGTTATTCCACAGTAGTTGATTGTCTTCGACTCAAATGTTCATTGAAATTTCGGCTCTGACCCTAAAAAGTCATGTCCCGGAGATTTAACTCCAAGTTCTGCACTGATTAATTTCTGAAATTATTCACCTGATATATATATATATGACTTGGAATCCACCGTTTATGAGCGTCTGCTATGCCATGATCAGCCAATCATGACCCTCGCAGCCGGGCGTGCGCTGGCAGTTGTCCGGTACCTGGTTCCCTGGCGATAAATACTCATGCGCTCCCGTTAGGTATACAGGTCGTGTGCATGGAAGCCCAGTTGTCCACGTTCCTTCTGTTGTTGCTGTTGGCCAAAATCCTGGTCAAGTGTTTACTGTGAGCCAGGGAATGTGGAGCGGACTGCCAAGGTGCGGGTTCGGCCGCGCCCTCCCCGCCCCCGGTCCCCTTGACTCTGTCTTGATACCGGGCTCAGGCGCGAAGAAGGAGAGATTGCGGTAGAACCTGCGCAAGTCACTGTGGCTGCTTCACCTTGCTGTGGAACACACGGCGGTCATCGTCGGATGCGGCGGTTGAAATATCATACGTATGACTAAGTATTTGCCTGCGGAGGTTTGAATAAACAATCTTTTCCAAGGCCCCGTCGGTCACCCTAAAATAGTTTGTATTACGATGAAACACAAACACCCCCCCACAGTTCTGGTCTCCGCACATTCATGTTAACTATGCGGCTGCTCCTATTTAAGCCGGGAACAGGGTCGCATCACATGTTGTTGTTGTTGATGCCTCGGTCACCCGTGTTTTGTTTGTTACTTCGAGTTTCTGCTGAGACAACGCGATGTGAAGCCGACTCGCGGAAGGCGCGCCAGCGTGGACTTTCAACAGGGTCAACTCTGCCTCACCTTCACCTTCTACGCCAGCCCGACACGTCGCTTTGCTGCCCTCATTCGGGCCGCCTTCACTTCCACCATCAGTCTGGGTTACGAGGATGTGGTTTCCCAGGTTACCTCAGCAGAGAAGCTGATTCATCTGATGCGTTTCGGGCTTCAGTTGAGCAACTGGAAGCTGCGAATCAACTCCCTTGATGGCAGTTAGTTCCCTATCCCCACGTCCCCCCTCCATCCCCCCCCTCTCTCAATGCTCTGGGCGGAAGGTTAAAATCGCTTCCAGCGTTGTTACTAATTTTACGCTCTTACTCAGGATCTGGGCTTGCGGCGGGATGTGCGTGTGCACAGACTGGAAACTTTCCATATTTTCGGTTTAATTTTATATTTTTTGTTTACATACGAAGATAGCCCCTCTGAAAGGCGTACAAATTATTCCATTTCTGTGCGCTAAATACACAAAATTTGCTCTAACTCGCGTCAATTTATTCTGTTGTTTAACCGATTTCGTTGCTGTGGCAACCGCGGGTCTCGCGAATTCGCACAAAGTTTTTTTGCTCATCAACTGCCCGGGTGCAGACCGTTTCTCCTCTTTTTAGGGTTCATTTACTTGGTTTCAGTGAAGGCGCTTTTATGATGCGGGTGTTTTCTCTTGTTTAGGAGAGTAAACCTCAGGGTTTTGCTTGTCGTTAAATCTCTGTTATCCAGAGGCGAAGTAGGCATGGACAGAACCAAATTCCTAGGTGCTTCTGACTTTTCCCTCACTTGTGTTCATCCTTCGCTAAGAAGAAATTTCACCTGAGAGGAAGTGGGGCGAATGCTGCAAATAGTTCAGTTTATAACGTCTTAAACAGGGGAATTGAAAACTATTTAAGTGTTGTGGAGGTTCTGCTTTGCAGTGAGCACACGGTCTTACCTTCCTTCTCAACGCAACTACGACAGTTTTTGCTGCGGTCCGTTACAGTTGTCTGTGTAATCTAGCTCTGTGAATTCAATGGGGACTTACGCGTGATTTGGACGATAGTGTCCAAAGTTGTGCGGTCGACAAGACAAAGATTCCCAATCATAAGTTAGGGAAGGCGGAGTGAGTTGGACAACCTGTACCGTTTTGGAAGTGCGTACACGAATGCTCTGTAGTCAACCGCCGCGAGCGCGCTCCAAACGAGTTGTTGTCTGTGTCCGCCGTCGAGGTGCTGAGACCCAGCGCTTGTGTGCGCCCTCCGATGTCTCCGCGTCCGCCAGCCAATCAGAGGGGGGACAGCGTTGATTGGCCTGGAGCACTCGCGAGGCTAGTGAGAAACCTCGCGTGTCCCAGCAGCGTATCGACAAGGAGTGTGAGGCGGACAGAAAGGCAGCTCCACAAAGACGGAGGGTAAGGAGACGCGAACTGCCACAATAGCGAGCAATATGAATTCAACCGTCGCTGTCGACAATGTCCGCCGTGTGCTCTAAAGCAAGGTGAAGCAGGCACGGTGACTTGCATGCTGATTAGTTTATAGTGAGGGTAGGCTTGCGCAGAGTCTATCGCACCCTCTCACCTGGACTCGGTGTCAACACGTAAGCAAGAAGAGCGGAGGCGGGAGGGGACACGAGTGGCTGGCATGACGAAAACCTGCACTTAGACGTACCGCCACACTCCCCTGTTCCACAACAAACACTTGACCAGGATCTTAACCAACAAAACCAAAATAAACGGATCAGAAGGACGAGGATGACTGGGCAAGCATGCATACGACCTGTATACCCAACGGGAGCGCAAGCCCATCTACTGGCAGGAGACCAGGCGCCCGAGAAGTGCCACCGCACACCAGGCTGTGAGGGCAATGGTTTGTTGATCAGGACATAGCAGAAGCCCACAAACCTTGGGGCCCAAAAGGATGGCACACAGCTCTGCATCTGACCTGGGCCATCATCCTTCAAAGGTTGGGTAACCAGTCAGTCAGCGAATAAGATGCACTATCCATAAGGCACACACACACTACTTACAGGAGTGGGAGTGCCATAGGTCACTTTAAGCAGCCTCGATCTCAGCCGACCAGTCCGCCACTGCACACAAACACACACATAGCTGGGCAAACTGCGGGGACTGAGTTGAGGCGTCAGTCGGCAGGCTACCAAGCCACGGTGCTTGGCGAACCATGAGAGTCTCAGACTCGAGTCACGCATGCAGCAGATGAGCCGCATGGGGCCGACACGCCCATTTCCCGCTTGCGTGGGACGTGGCAGTCGGATGCTTGTGATGGGTGGTGTCGAGATGTTCGGGTGCTGGTGGAGGGTGAGTGATGCAGCCGGCGTTGTCTGCTGCACGTTTTCGTGAATATGCATTAGACCTTACTAACCCCTGCGGTGAGCGAATAGACAAGGCAGTAAAGACAGTTAATGCGGGTGTGACGAGTGTAGATTGGTGCTCCAGGCACTGGTTCGCCAGGCTCTGTGAGATGGGTCCTCAGGTGGCCTATCAGGCCGATGGGTGTGGTGGATGTTCGATTGCCATGAGAACAGGCATGAACGAAGTTCACATCACTGCACTTGGGAGTGTTAGCGGTGATGGCAGGAAGTGTTGGGACATCAGACGTCGTCCCAACTTTAGGGGAGTGCGTGAGGATGCCGTGGTGGCGATACTAGGCCACCGATGTCGATGAAGGGGTAGGGGCAGGGCGGATGATGTCGGTGGACGGTGACGGCGGGACAGCAAGTGTCGTCGGCGGTGACGGGGGTGCCGATCGGTGCGGGGTTTGCGGCAGGGGCGAGAGTGGGAGAAGAGGTATACGTTGTCGAATTGATGGCGCATTGAATCCGAGGGTGTCCAACGAGACCGACTCGTGCGCAGAATGTGCGTTGACAGCGCGGGCATGTACGAAGCGGCGGATGGTTGGTACTGTGGAGGCGAGGCACTTGTGATTTGAGGGCCTCTCGTTTGGCTTTGGCGGCGGCGGCGATCCGATTTGTTTTGTAGATGGCAGCACCGGTATCCACTTCTCCTCTCCAGGTCGGTCTGTTCTGGACGAGGTCCTCCCAGATCTCAGGACTGAAATGAAATCCGGCGGCGACATCACAACTGAAAAGTTATTTTGGTATTCGTGTATCTTCCATCCTCACGAGCTGGCCGCTCAAACGTAGCTGCAGTTGCCTCAACATGGTGTGAATGCTGAGGATGCGGGTCTGTGTTGGGAATCCTGTCTTGTTATCTCAATTTTGGTGTTCTGCGAAGACAGCTGAGTTGAGTTTCTTGGCATGGCCGGGGTAGACGGTTCAAATCTCTGCTCCGTGGAGAAGTGTCGTCGGGAAGACGGTCTTGTACATCTTCAGTTTGACATTCAGTTGGAGGCCGTGACGATTCCACATGGGGTTCTGCAGCCGGCCGAAGACTTGGCTGGCTTTGGAGATCCGGTGGACAACCTCATCGTGGATTCTCATGCTGTTGGAATGTGTGCTTCCGAGATAAGCAGAATTATCTACTGTTTTGAGTTGATGGCCGTCGACCGTGATTCGACTAGGACAGCAGTGTTGCGGATACGTGTGGTTGACGCATACGCCAGAGTTACCCGGAGGCAGGATCGCGTCAAACAGGGCACCGAAGTGGATCTCTAAACCAGTTTTTTGTGCTGGTTGGTGGCTGTCTTGCAGACGTTGACTGAAATGTATTGCCTATTCGAAAAGGCTTCTAAATTAGGCTTGTAATGTTAATGATCGTGCAACAGAATCCCATACCACGCCGTCGGCGCTTGAACGAGCGTCTTCCCGGTCGCCTGCAAAAACTCCGTTCTGCAAACAATGATCATTTACGTAGTGCGAACTTTCCCTATTGATTTTCAACGCCCTTATAAATTCACATATATTATAAGGTAATGGATATAAAATATTGATCTCTTTAATCAGTTGACAGTAAATTACGGCGTCCGCCATTTTTATACCCTAATTTGGAGTATCATTCTGTTTTGAAAAACTTTTTCAATTTTCGAATAACTTTGAACACTACTTGCCGTTAAACGTACATTCGGTGTCTCTGTATGAGGAAATCCATGCATTTTTATACGCCGTTAAGAAGATACTGTATGGGATTCATGAAATTTTGCGGTGAATTTAAACCATATAGCGAACTTTACAAGCAAAATTAATAAATGCAAAGATGCGGGGTTTTTTGAATGGATAGTTCGCGGTCCTAAAAAATCTCCTACTTAGCAACTTTTTAAAAATCGACAAAGGCTCTTTCCTCAAGTATTAAGTTTGAAGAAGGCAAACTTTGCTACAAACTGAGATAATGAACGAATATTGTTGGGACTTATTTCTCAAAAAATATATTTGAATTTATAAGGATACCCAAAATCGACGAGAAAACTGCATACCTCCTAAGCAGCATTTTTTGCAGACCCTAGTTTTCGAAGACGGCCGGAAAAAACTCGTTCAAAAGCCAGCATCTTGCCATGACTGAAATATCCTGGGATTATATTGCATGGCAATTGACAGTGCGAACATACTAAGAAAATATTTTCTACCCGAGAAAAAATCGCAGGACTTCGGTGAATATTCCGTGAGACAGCGCATTCACTGTGGTTCTTCGTTAAGTTCATTGAGAAGCCAACTGCTATAAAGAAGCAGTATAGACCTAACCCAAGTCGCTCTGTGGGGACCTAACTCTCTTCTATACGAAAAGTCGCGCTGGGTAAGGTTCCTGACATTACATCGGATGGGCCCTTCTCTAGTCGTGGAGGGTACTTACTATGGTGTTTTTCTGCGAAAACTCATTTTGAGGCTTCAGATTTTCACTCTGATAAGTCCAAAACGTTCCAGCAGAAATAACTCGCGTTACTTTCCACACTGGGTTTTAGCTGTTTTATCATGAACTCATGCATTGGCTGATCCTACTCCGCCGACTTTGAAGTCTTTGCTTAGATCAGAGTAGGGACTTTAGACAAACAACACACTTAAGGTCCCTCAAATACAGTAAAATCAGAATATGAAAGTCGGAGGCCTGAACAGTTCTTAATTCGAAGGTGTTCCATATTCCTTGCATTGTCGGGTAGTCGACCGAAAAGAAACATGAATATCGTTTATAACATACTGAAGGGGCTTACATGCATTCTGCGTTAAAAGTGAGGCAATGAGAGAAGGAGGAGGGGGAGAGTCGCAAGGATGCCTGATCGGTTCCGCTGGCAAGTCGGAACAAAACGTCCCCATTATCTGAATTTATCCGGATATCGCGTTCGACAGTGCACAGATGCTAATGATCGCGATGGTGAAGGCTATCTGTCTGCAGTTACTGAAAACCCAATCGGCTTCTTTTGTTGTTTTTTCTTTCAGGAGAACGCTTTTCTGCTTCTAAAAGTAACAGGCTACTTAGTCATTTCCCAGCGGGTTTCGATTTACCATCCTCCAGTCCGTATGGGTCGATTTCCCACAAGAAACTGTCTCAACCAACAGAGAAAATGTTTAAATTTGTTACGATGCTTAATATCAGCAGATGTATTGGACGTAGTATAGGTTCTGAAAGTCCATTTGTAGGCTCCTTATTCGTCCTTAGGTCTAGAATATGAAACAATTGAAACTTCCTACATAGAGATCTTTCGGGTACTTGGAAAATTTTTGCATTTCCTTTGAGTATCAAAACTGGACGACACATACATACGTTTCCCGAAGAGGCCCATCCATATCTCTCTTCACGTTGTTATAGCAACCGTAAGGCACCCGAATACGCTTGAAACAATCGGTCCGTTCGGCCAGCTGGTTTAAACAACGCGTTGCGATAACTCCGTGTGTTGTCTCAGCAGGAAGTCATAAGTATACTTCAAGAAAAAATATTTTCTCGTCCAAGAACGAGAGGATATCCCTTAAGAACGCCTGAAGAAGGCTAAAATCTTGTTAATGATATCTGACGAGCCTTGCATATGCATATTAGCACCAAAATCCATTTGGCCATGAGTCGGGTTTAAAGTATGCCTCGCACCCATCAGTTTTGCGACCCAAATAAAGTCCTATTTTACTTTCTTAGAACTACACCAAGAGAGGCTCTGCAAATATCTCAGGAGAGTTAATGCGTGCCAAAAATGTCGACTGGGTTAACTGCACAGTCCTTTCTAGAAGAATACAAATAAAAATATTTTTGGACTGGTATAGAATTGCGAAAATTTCCATAGCAGTATTCAGAAGACGATTTGGCGAGCATACGTTGCTTTCGATAAATCCTTCTCATTAAATGCGCAGTCCCTTTTTGACGACCAACTCTATAGACAAGTAGGCAGCGTCGCAATGGGCTCGCCTCTCGTACCTCTCCTAGCCGATATCTTCTTGGGCAAACTGGAGAATTTTCAACTAAGCGACTCGATTGATAAACTTAAAAATTACGGGCGCTATGTTGATAATACCTTTGCGGTTGTCACCGAAGAAACCGACGTAGCCACCCTCTTAAGTGCTGTAAATCAGGCCCAACCCTTAATCAAATTCACAATGGAGATGGAAACCGCCGGTTTACTCCCTTTCTTAGATGTTCTTTTAAAAAGGAGACCTGATAGTAGCATCCGAAGGAACGTCAATTGGGAGAAGACCTGGTCTGGATAATACAAGAACTTCGTCAATTTCGTACCCCTCCCGCAAAAACAAAATCTAGATAGGTGTTCGCATAAAGAGCTAGAGAAATTTTCTTAATAGATAACATCGAGGAGGAGCTTGAAAAAATCCAGGACTTGCTTCGCGATAACGGAAATCCTGGGTGGTTTATTGTAAAGAACATTGCGAACGACAGGTAAAACCCACCGCACTGACTACTGGAGAGAAAGCGCTGTTCCTCAAAGTCCCCTATCAAGGAGACGCTGCGAGTGAACTCCTAAGAAAACATCGTGATCAAGCTGTCACGAAAACCTTCCCAGCTTCAAGCGTTCGAATATTATTCTTTTCTGATCATATAGTATGCGGAGAAGGCAAGGATAGGTTTCCACCTCAGTGTACATCTATTCATTCACTTGCTTCTGTGGAGCAGGTTATATTGGGCGTACGAGTCGGCGTCTATCCCCGCATGGCCGGGAAAAGGCGAAACTGGGAGCCTAGTGTCATTCTCGCACATGCAGTTGATTCAGGGCATCGTGCGGACCCCAGCGAAGCTTCTCATATGATTTATAAGGCCCCCTTGAGCTATCCTAAACTACTGGTCCAGCGTCTGTAGGCAACAGCGGAAGCGGCCGCAATCAGGTAACGAAAACTGATCTTGTGCGCTCAGGCGAACCCCGTTCAGGCCTCGCAGTTACCGTGGTCAAAGGTTGATTTACCAGATGCAACTTTTTGCGCCCTTCCGCTCTCGCCCAACCCGCGTTTTAAAACAAACTTATCGATTTTTTAATTGCTGAAGGTGAGAGGTACCCCGGGCGTTAGGGCCGCAAATGGATTAATCGTAGGCGATCGCATAGCGAAGAGCAGGCCATGAGTCGGAAAAATAACTGGTGTTGCAATGCCTACTTCTGGTTTGTTTATGGTTGTCGACTAGCCAGATCTCATACCCGGGTCAGCAGGACCCAATGAGTTGCGTCAATGGCTGAGGCTTTACCATCTATGCGCAAACTTTCGAGAAAACAGAACATCTATACTGACGGCATAACCCTTCCACAAGTAGCACTGTTACTAGAAGGCACCAGAATATTGAGATGTGCTATTCAGTGGTTGTTCACGTTCAGTATTTAACTCCACACCCCCACACTCGCACAAGGAAAAAGAAAATGTGAAAGTGTACGGAAAAGTTGACACTGGGCGTATGCGGTGGTGGGAGGAAGGCTTCAATTTTAGACTCGAAATTTGAAGTTCTCATTTCGGTGGGTTATTGGGTGCCTGCGCGTGAAGGGGAGGGGGTCGGGAAGGAAGGCGAAAACAGAAAAGACGGTGAAAAAACCGAGAGTCATCCACATTGATGGAGGGAAGGTCCTTGGATTTGCTTTTGACTCCGACAATGACGACGTCATCGGGGTGTCCCCATTGCTCCTGTCTGCTGATTTCGCAGGTCTGAGAAGTCAGCATCTAAAGACCTGGCAGGGAGGGATAAAAATGAAATAGATCGCTTTTTCGACTTTCAGGAAAGCTGCGCATGATGTACGGTACGCGACCTATCTCATGAAATCTGATAAGGGAAACTGATGCGAGAATTTCTGGACGCCTTTAACGCTGCGCATTTTGCTCGCTCATTCTCATCCTTCAATGAAGTGTACTTTTCTTGTGCAGAAGTTGTGTTTACGTAATTTTATCAAGTAAAATATCAGCAAGTTTTTAGCGAAAATGGACGTTGGAATATATTTATGCAATGCCATATGCTAATACATGTCCTAGACTCCAGTTACGCATCTGAGCGACTTTTTCATCGAAAGGATAGCAATTTGCCCGCGAGAGTTTTAATAAACAGATTCAGTTGAACTTGAAAAGTTATTTTACGTCCGATGTTAACCGTGGTAATCAACCTGCTAATAAAAGGTTATTTTAAGAAAATCAGAGGTTTAATCAATCCCTAAATGTCAAATTAGCAGATTTGTGCGATTTGGTGTCCTAAAGTGCAGTAATAACGCAGATAGGGATTGCCTTGTTTAAATGGGCTGAAATTGCTTTACCATTTGGAAAAT